CAAAACTTATCTGAATTCTGATGAATAGATCACATAGACCAGAAATAGGACAAGAAAAGTGCAGTTTCATTAAAGACATTTGAATGTGATATTTATGTTCAGAATTATTATGCACGAGGTTGTATACCTATGTTTTATAGATTATGCAAAAGCATTTGCTAAATTACATCACACAGAACTATTTGAACTGCTCGGTAAGCTTGATTTATTTGGGAAGAATATTAGAATAATCCAGAACTTATATTGTGAACAAACTGCCTGCATATGGATCGAAAAGAAATTCAGTAAATACATAAAAATAGAAAGAGCTAAGACAAGGATGTACCTTCTCACTGGAGTTAACCGATAACAGGTAATCCTGTGTAAATTAGAAGTCCTACCAGGATTCATTATTGGCAGCCACAATCTTAACATAAGATATGCAGATGACACTGTTAATAATATACATAGAAAGAATCTACAGAAACTATGGTATCTGTCTATATTTCTGAGATGAAATATTATTTACACTATTTACATTATTCAGACTATTGTCCTCATCTTTGTCGCCATATTTATTACAACGTTTCGATCATTGTACACTCCGGCCTTCTTCATGTGGTTGGAATGTCGAACTGAACCCTTTATTTCGCTCAATGGGGTAGACTGTTCTAGTTCCACGTGCCATGTTTAATGGATGTCAGTTATTAGTTATCTCCTGTTAATTCCCCTCTCCAAGTTCTCCACTGCCTTAACCAGGTATTAAACTCACACTCTTTGAGGTCCTGTAACTGGATCTAATCAATGCCTTTATCCACTGTGCCATGTGTCCTTGTGAGTTCAATACCCGGTTAAGGCAGTGGAGAACTTGGAGAGGGGAATTAACAGGAGATAACTAATAACTGACATCCATTAAACATGGCATGTGGAACTAGAACAGTCTACCCCAGTGAGCGAAATAAAGGGTTTAGTTTGACATTCAAACCACCTGAAGAAGGCCGGAGTGTACAACGGTCAAAATGTTGTAATAAATATGGCGACATAGATGAGGACAATAGTCCAATTAATGTAAATAATGTACATAACACCCTTTCTCAGAAATATAGACAGATATAGAAGAAATTGTGTTTTAAAAAATCAGTTTAGCTTAAATTAATCTTTACCCTATAATCTGTACGAATGGCAGCATCACGATTAAATTATTTTTATTATAAGTTTTTATAAAAAAAAGCACACTTGTAAATTATACATCATTTTTAATATTGGGAGCAGCAAAATAAGAAATTAAATTAAAACAAATCACATTAGCTTTGCCCTTTCATTCTTTTTTTTTTTTTTTTATTTTCAAAATGTTGCCTAATATCCAGCTGTCTAAAAGTAGCTTGGACCTTAAAATATAATTTACAACACTGATAAATATTAAGATTTAACTTTTAAAATGATAAATTTCAGGATTTGAACATGGAAATATGTTTTATTCTAACAAAGTTGTCTGAGGCTGTATTGCCTGGACACTGCAAGATACATGGTCTCTGAAATAAAATATATTTTCATGGTTGAATGTTAAATTTTTAGCATTTGTCACTAGGCATAACAACTTTTAAACACTCGAGTACTGTACTGCTGTCTCTAAGGACAATCTGGTGATACTGGGTGATGAATTTTTTTGCTGTTTTGAAATTTACAGAACTATCATCCACTTAATAAACTGGTTCAGTGTTGATCTGAATTGATTCGGAAATTTTTGATGGCATGGATTGGTTTACTGTCACCAAATGTAACAAAAGCAAAGCTTCAGTGAGTGGATAATATGGTAGCTGCTAATAAATTTGTACAAGCTACTAATAAATATGTGGGAGTTGCTAATAGAGAAAGACAAATGACATCAGGTCTTCAAGAGCAACAGCAAAGAATAGCTTTTAGTGCAGTCAAGTATGACAATCAGCAGCAGGACTCGTCAGCAGGCAGGTTAGGTTTAAGGATCCAAGTTCTGCTCTAGGTTATTGTCCCAAAGCCTTTTTCTATGGTTTGGTTACTTTAAAAGTTATTGGGTTTAATAAGTTTGAGTCTGCCAAAATTCAAGACACCTGTTTATTTTTTTCTTCCATAGTCAGTCTATATTGAAAGGTTACCGCAAGGTAATGAGTTCAAAGACTGTCAAAATTCACAGCACCTGGATAAGTTGCATTTGACCTACTTACAGCATTCTGGCTGCCTTTAGACTTAAAGATCAAATGCCAGATGCAATCAAATAGGGGATTTTTTTTAGTTCATCCCCCTTGAATCTAAATAACGATTCGTCAGCCAATAAGAATGTAATAAATAAAAGCAGTGCCAAATCAGTGATTTAGAAGAGGTTTTCCACCACTTCCATAAATTATAACCTGAATTATGGTTGGTTGACCAATGAGAATATGACATGAAATGATCTGTAATTGGATCACCGATCAGAAGCCTTTTTTGGTCTGGAAATTCTGTCCATAAAGGCTGAAATACTGAGTTATGCAACTAGACCAAAATGAAAAGTTAAAAAGATTCTCTCCAATGAGTAGAAGACATTGCGAGGATCCATCTCATTGAAGAAAATCCTAAACTCTGAAACAACGACACAAATTGCGATAATCCCATACTAATTAGCATAAGTCTGTAGTGCCGGCAAAACTTTTCACTGTGTCTTTTTTTCTCATCCACTTGGCGATATTAATGCCTATTGAAAAGAACTGTTTTCTTTCAATAACCAACCAGCAGAAATTAACATTTTCTATTTTTATGTATTGTTTCACAATCATGTTACAATAAATATTTTTGTTATTAATGGAACATTGCTTGACTCATTATGTTGCTCACCCCATTTCTTGCAACTCTTACTAACTATCCTGACCATCAGAAGAAGTCCTGGCCGAATTGTTATCTCCCTACTGTGGATCTTTCAAACACAGTGTGGGCACAGAAAGAGTTGACAGAACAACTATTCAGAAATAAAGTGGTAATTACAGAATTAAGACCACACCATCGAGGAAGATCAAATCAATATAGGGGTACTATAGCAATGTTTCAGTATTTTAAACCATTTATGCTTTGTTTAGATAAAAATTTGATATCTGAATTGTCATCTCTTAAAACCAGTCATTAGCACCACTGATCTTCAGTTAGATGAAGTAAATCCTAAAGAAATATAACCAGTACTAACATAAATCTGAAGAAAGTGACATCTTTTGGTACATTTATTTGACCTTTTGTGATTAAGTACAAGTGTAAATACTGCAGTTATGGAAATGTTAAATTAAATATTAACGATTTTCATTTAATAAGGAATTATTTAAAAAGATTGTGTAGAAAATAAAACAGATACTTCTAAAAAGCTGTTACGTCATGACAAATGTGGTGTGTGTAGGAGCAGGTTGAAGACAACAATTGGATCAAGCTACACTCTTATTCTAGCTGTTAAATAAAGGTTATTATATACATATATCCTTACAGCATGTCATTGTAGTTCTTTTTTGTAATTCATCTTTATCATCAGTCCCATGACTGGGTGTGGTCATAGCATTACTGCACCTGACCAGTTCCCTCTGCATATCTGCGTCCTGGATATGACGATAAACTACATCCGCATCCTGGGTAAGATGATAAACTACGTCCAACAGCAAGGCCTCTGATAATACATTTTTTGGGGAAAAAAAATAATAATAATAATATTACCAGCTATACATTTTTGGAAAAAAAAATATTACCAACTATGTCTTTGAAAAAATAATATTCCCAGCTATACATTTTTTAGAAAAAAATATTAACAGAAATGGATTTTTGACAAAACAAAAATATTACCAGGAAAAGAAAAAAAAAAAAATTGTTGGCATTAAATAACCCATTGAGGTTGATATGCCATAAAATAAAACAAACCAAACCAAATTCTCTGCATATCTGGGTTGAAAGCAGAAGTATTCATTCATACATAGCATGTCTTGAGCAAGTAGACTTGGTGGAGCACATCCCTTTTCAGGTCAAACCACAGCCAATGACCTCCAATTTGAAAGCTTGCCTTGGTCATGAACATATGGCTGTTGATCTGCCAATCTAGGAAGCTTTTTGTTCAGCGATGCTATGTCTGCATACATCAATATGGTGCCTAGTCTATACCCCATTCTGATAGATAGCTGCTGACCTTACAAAAAGGTTCATCTGACTTTTGATAGGCCCAGTTTTTTGCTGGGTGTCTAACCCCCCTCCTCTTACCAGAAAAGCCTGGTGGAGGAACTGGCTTAGTTGCCGATAACCTGATCATGTGGCAGGTATTACTGTGTTACATGGTATCAATAGAACTTGTAAAGTAACCTGACATAATTGTAATTCATATAATGTAAAACTTTGTCAAAATAGTAGAATGTCTATAATTTTTACTAGCAAATTTTGTTTTGATTTATTCACATATGTTTAATGGTAGATCATTCATTTGCAACAAATTTATTTTGAGTAATTTAAGGGAATGATGTTTTTGTTGAAATTTGCTAAAAAGTCTATAAAATTTTTATTATATACCATACCTGTGAACACTAATGGGTATGTCCCAATCCTCATAAAAACATTGGACACTATTGTAAGTGGGGGTAACTGTTGTCTAAGTAGTCCACCTCTAGCAGTGGTTTACCTACTTCATGCCGGTGATGAGTATTGTATTTTGATGATGTTATAAAGATTACCATTTCATTTCCAACCTCCATTTTGGTTATTCCTCATTCACTAACCTTTCCTAGGTTACAACAATTTTTATGCCTTGAAATAGTAATGACATTCAGAATCTAATGTTGATAATTTCCACTGATAGGAATTAAGAAAGAAAACTTTCAGGTTTATTCACAAGATAAAATTTTTAATTTCAAACCATTTTAAGTACAGCTACTTGAAAGATACTTCACAATTCTATACTTTTTATATTTTGTGAACTTCTTGGTTGTTGAAAGGGAAGCTAGGTATTCTATGCTAATTATTTCATTTTTTTTTTATTTTTATTTTTTTTTCAGAGAGCTTGCTTATCCAGATTTATCCTGTATTATTTCCATGAAGGATAAAGAAACTGTTGTGAAAACCGGCTCTAATCAATATGTATACAGTTATGATTTTTCATTTTGGTCATTTAACAAAGCGGACATTCATTTTGCCAGTCAAGAAAATGTGTACAAATCATTAGCTCAGCCTTTGTTAGTGAAAGCTTTTCAAGGTTACAACACTAGTTTATTTGCATATGGGCAAACTGGCAGTGGGAAAAGTTACAGGTATGTAACGTTTTTCTTCCCTCATTGAAGGTTTATATTTCAGACAATATTCAACTTGATTTTTGGTTAAATTATGTGCTTGCATATATAATACAGAAACTCTAGGAATTTGTAGTACAACTTAATATATTATTCTCCAATACTAAATGAATTTATTATGTAATGCTTAACTTTCATTTATTATTTTTCTGTATTATTTTGAATTCAAATTTATTGTTATGATTTGCTATGGTGTTATTGCTATTATTGGAATATTTGATTGTGTCATATATTATTTTCATATATTTAATTTCTCTATCTGTATAAATTTCTCTCTCAATATCTCTTATAAAATTGGTTCCTCTGCTTAAGCATGTTAAACAATTTGAATGTATACTGATATTGTTTAACGTGATTTCTTTATTTTTATTAATTCTGTTAGTTGCTGCAAGAAGCTAATTCATATGCATATTTAAATGTTTCAGTATCATGGGTTATGGCAAAGAAGAAGGCATTGTTCCAAGATTCAGTAGAGAACTATTTGAAAGGATTAAAATAGGATCAGGAAAAAATGAGGTTTGTAAAATTCTTTATTTAATAGGTATCCCAAAGTAAAATTTTATTTTCAATATATCTAAAAACCTTACATGACAAAACGAGATGGAATATTTGAATTAAAAAACAAGTCCGTCGCAGGAGTCTCTATAAAAGTATTTTGATATGCAAATTACTGAACATCCTCTCCCAGCTGTCGACGAATGGAAAAAATGCTCGGCCAATAAAAGCAGTTGGTGTTCTCGAATTGGGGAGCAAAATTTAGGTATTTTGGCTACGGCATTTGTTGGAGAATGAGTTATTTTTCTGACTGGTTGCGTGCATTGTGATTCGTGAGATACTACCTGCGAATCGAGTTTTTGGCATTTCTTTCTGCCCCTGATGTTCAAGTCTGAACTTAGTGATATATTCTCTGTGACATAGAAATAATCTGCAAGCTAAATCTTGTTTGTGATACCTAATATTAGCATTGAAATTGCTATAACCTACTTTTTTATTTCAGGTGAAAAGCAGCGTGGAAATAAGTTTTTTTGAAATCTATAATGAAAAGATTCATGATCTTCTTGAATCGGTGAAGGATAAACGAGCTAAAAAAACAGCAGTAAGTATTTACAATGTTTCTCCTTTTAGCTTTTGATGGATTCACATGGTAAATTTATTTATTCAGTTGTAATTTATTTATGATAAGGAAAACTATTAGAATAACAGTATATTACAGTGATCTTCCATATTTGTGGGGGTTAAGGAGCAGAACCGGCCATGAATAGTTAGAATCTGCAAATTCTTGTAACCCCCTGCCCACAAAAGTGCTTATAAATACCTATTTTGATTGTTAAAGCCCCATAGGCCTTAAACTTTCATCTTGAACACTTTAGAAACATTTCAGACCCTTTTTAAAACATTTTTGAAAAATAGTATTGGTAACCATACATGCGTAAATTTTTTTTCATACATACAATAACCATTTTTAATTACACATAGATCGATACAACCATTGAAAATACTGTATAAAACTTGTGTAACAAGACATAAAATATAAAGTTTAAAACATTTTCTAAAAACAGAACTGTGATGATGCCCCCAGACTTAGCATAAACCATTTTTAAGATCCCAGCCGTAGCCCCTATCAAAGAATAAACCCCAAGCACTACGCATGTTTTTGTGTTTGTCTTTTACAATGAAGATGTACAATTCTGCCAATTTTTACCATAAAAATGGACCGTTATATGTTTTAAGTTACTTAAATAACAAGAAAATAATACAAGAATATTTTAAATATGTTCTATCAAAAAAATACATGAATTGCGGGGGTTCTCGGTGAATAATTTGTACATATGTCCTTCAGGAAAACACTCAAATATTCAGGGTTTCTGCGAATAACAAGTACATATGTTCTAAAAAAAAATCCGTGAATATGTGAAGCCGCGAATGCTGAAACGCGAATAGGTGTGTGTTCACTGTACTTATAAAATCAGAAACTCGGGCTTTATCTATTTTTCTACATGTTAATGAATCATTACAAATGTTATAATTTAGCAAATGATTTGTATTTATGCATTTGTTAAATGTATTTAATTTTTATTTAAATTAATTTAATTTTTTAATTGCTGAAAACGTTCATAAAATTGAATTTGATCTTTTTATTAGTATACTTTTGGATAAGTTTCCACTTTTTCTTTTTCATTCAGTTAAAAGTACGAGAACACCCAATACTTGGGCCATACATTGAAGGACTTTCAACTCATATGGTCAATTCTTTTGAAGATATACAGGTAAAAAAATCTTTTAGGTTAGATGTATTTTGAAAATAATGTATTCTGATTTTTTTTTTTTTTTTTTTTTTGATGATGATTGACATTGCATTTAAATTTTTGACGATCAATTTGACTAGAAAGTAAGAGGCCAGAAGAGTTTCACAAGCAAGAAGTGTGAAAGAAGGAACTGCTAGCATAGAACTTATGGTTACATCTAGCAATTTCAACTGTAAAATGATGAGATCTAACTGCCAATCTAGTACTGTGCTTAAATTTGTAAAATCAAGGTACCATCATCAGAACAATTGTCATGAAAATATTTCTAGAAAAGTCACAGGTAAGCTACATTATGATGGTGGGAAAGTGACTGAAGCAGAGATGCCAGGTCAGGAATTATAACATTACAGATTATTATTGGTATTTTCTCAAGAATCTCTAAATATATAGCAGAAGCACCAGACCAGTAATATTCAGTGTAGGATGAATGGTAGACTTATAAATGTCTAAGATAGATTCTGGCAAGAAAAACTGTCTAACATGACACTGTGAACCAAGTTTCTTAACAGCAGACCTAGCAACTAATTCAATATAATCTTTTGATTTCAAGTCAGCAGAAAATATTAGTCCAAGAAGGTGCAATGAGTCACTCTCCTGGAGATTATCCTCAGCCATGGAGATGGAATGCACAAAGTGTACTCTCAGCAGTTTTGTTTTGGAGGCATTAAAATTAACATTAAATTTTTTTAGATCATCTGCCAATTTTACCTTATCAAAATGATCAGATTTAGCATTAAGACTGGAGTAAATAATTGTATCATCAGCATAGATACAGAGTTGAGAAATGATGACCTCATTTTTTATGAAAATTGGGAACAACATAGGTCCAAGGATAAAGCCCTAGGGAAACACCCACATTAATACAAAAAGATCTGGAAGAGTGGCCATTCAAGACAGCTTTCATTTTGTGATTTGATAAGAAAGATTGAACTGGATCAGAAATACCATAATCTTCCAACTTGTGAAGAAGACCAGTATACCAAACCTTGTCAAATGCCTTTGAGATGTGTCCAAAGCAAAAACTCAAGTGTCACCATTCTTATCTAAAATTTGATAGACTATTTCAGCATCTGTTTGGTCAATTAATGCCTAACGTTTTCCTATAAGGAAATGGCTAATATTACCATTATCATTCTATTTGATGACTTTTAAAAACTTTTTTTTGATAAATGTGTAATAATCAGCTTTCTAGAATGTGAAGGAGCATTATTTTAGCTAAATATATTCTTTAGTTTAAAGCTTCTTGCTTTTGTGACTTGTACCACTCAAAAAATCTCTTGGCCAAGAATTTAGAATAATTTTCTGCATTGTAAGTATGTGCCAAAGATCCAACCATTTTGCCAGTATGTACCATTCTAAATTACACTGTGCATCAGAAATAAGTGATGTTAAATTAAGCATATGGTGGCATAATAAACAACAAAAGTTTAAAGAAATAAGCAATTGTATTAACGTAAAATACAGCAAATAGTAAATTGTTGTAAATGTTTCTTGTTGAAAAAAAGAGATAAGTAAAGTTGCAAAAGGCATCTGCAGAGACATACAGAAGGAGAGAGAGGATGATTTGTGACTTACTGGGGCAAGCTGTCTCTTGGAGATTTGAGGTCGCTTTATGACAAAGTCTGTGAACCCGGGCCAAGATGCTGTTCAACTGCCAAAAATGTCCCTTTGATGGGCTTTTATGTTCTTTCTTAGGCTCAAATCAGCTCTGATTTTTTATTTTGTTTCTTTAGGTGGTAGTGGGTGCCATTGGGTAAAAATTCTGGATTGTATTGCTTATTTTTTCTTTAAGTGTGTGAATAAAAACAGAAATTATTTTGCAGAGCTTTGCATAGTTGATGGAATTTTAGTTCAGTTTTGGGTGTCTGGCACATTCACATCTGGCCAGTAGTGGAAATCAGGGTAGCATGAATCAGAAGATCTGGTTTTAGGAAGAATGTAACAGTGACAAGGAACTCATCATACTGCTACCTATTTTTAGATGGAAACAAATGCAGTGACATCTGACTAGACACAAGAGATAGTAATAAATGACATTACAACTATTAATTTCAAGCTGGACACCACAACCTTAGCCAACATTTTTTTTTTTTTTTTTTTTTTTTTTAAAGCTTTTCACCCCAAGTAAGGTGGGAGTGCCACTACTACGCAAAGAGTTACATAGTGGGAGCAAGAGTAAAGAAGTGTGAAAGAGGAAAGGATGAAGAGAAGGACAGGGAATTAGATCAAGGCATCTGAAGATGTCGATTGACATTGCATTTGAATAGTTGGAGATTATAGCTATCAGGGAAGCAAGTAAGAGGAAGGGAAGTGCAAAACATGAAGCTATTGGAATGAAGCTAAATTATCCAAGAATGTACTGTGTATGTTTTGCCCCAGTCTACTACATGCAACCAAATTCCAATGGAAGAGTTATAGTCAGCACATCATCCAATTTGAGGGTCAAGTAAAACTTAAATGCTATAACAACAACATGGTAAAATAACTGACATTTCAAGTTATTGACCTAAAAGTTTCACTAATCTTAAGAAAAGATGCATTAGGCTTATTGAAAAGATTAGAAGTAAATGTTGTGAACCTTTTGCTATAAAGTTATAAAATCTTCTGCATAGCTTTTAATGAGCCATCATCTAAGAACATTATTACCAACACTGCATCATTAAAAATCTATTGGTAATTCAGAAAAGATATGCTGAACATCAAAAACAACTGCAAAAATATCACAACTGACATACAGGAAAAAAAACTTCCATCATTGAAGCCAGGTGATCATCTGCAAGTTCAATTAGATTACAAAACTTGCACACCAGCAATTGTCACCAATAAACCAAGATCAAACATATGGAAGAGATATCTGGCACTATACCCATCAAGAGAGAATGACAACCATCTTGTCTCTAATGAATTCAACTATGAAGAAGCAACTTGCCACACTCAGAAGCTAACAGAACTGTAATTAAGAAGTGATCGTGTTATAAATAAACTCATTAGATAGAGAACAGAAATTTAACAATGTCTAGAATCATGCCAATTCTAGAAATATGAGGGTAGTCTTTTGTTTTTGTTTTGTTTTTTTTTCATTCGTCAATGAACATTATAATTCTCATTTTTAGAGATTGGAGATGTAATGTATTAATAAATACTGAGTTAACTCCCTTGTAACTATTTATAGAGACCATTACATTTCAATAAAGTGTAGTCTGTGCTGCATTATCCAATAGTAATCAAGAATTAAAGCTAATGTCCTCTTGTCACTTTCTGTTATTTCCTAAATATTTAAAAATTGGATAATTTTGTATTTTTCTGCAAATATACTTTAAATAATTGGAATTTTATTTTGGTACATGCATGTTTTAATGAATTCTTAATATTATTTTATTATTAAATGAAATGTTTCCTCAAATAATCTTAATGTTATTTTTCAAAAATATTCAATTTTTTTTTTTTTTTTTTTTTTTTTTTTTTAGCAAGTAGAATTAAATTTTTAACTTTTTTTTGCTTGCATTTAAAAAAATATGAAAACCTTGAAATTGTTTTTATGAAGAAATATAGTCTTAAGATGTACTATATTTATGGGATAAAGTGCTCAATATCAGATATATAGCGTGTGTAAATATAAAAGTGAACATAGAAGTCAACACAGAGGCGACAGTCTGTTTCATGCTAGATGCAATCCTGATTGTATCTAGCATGAAACACTGTCGCCTCTATGTTGACTTATATATATATATATATATATATATATATAAAATATATATTAATTTTTTTTTGTAATTTAGTGTTGGATTAATCTTGGGAATAAGAATCGTGCAACTGCTGTCACAGGAATGAATGATAAAAGTAGCCGGTCTCATTCCATTTTTACAATGGTGCTCACACAGACAAAGGTAAATTATTTCAATCATAAAATATAAACTTTGTTTACAGTTTGAAAATTCATTAAATAGTGTTTATCATTTTTGTTGTCAATTTTCAACATTGAAGAAAATGTATAAATTCACTTTGATTTGTTTAGGTTTTATTACAATTCTATTGATTGCTATTAAAAAAAAAAAAATAATTTCTGAGAAGTGAGGGTAGTTAAAATAATAGCAGTGTTAATGGAAAATAATCTTTTTTTTTCTTTTTTTTTTTTCTTTTTTTTGCTCACGCAAAGGTCCAAGTTTGCCCAATTTATTTAGTTATTTGCCTATCAACAGCAATAATGCTACAAAAGAATTAATCTGAACATGTTGTTTAATTTTGCTTTAATGAGAAACATGAATGTATTACGGAAAATATTTAATGAAAATTTCACATTTATATTTATCTTCTGCTTATAAAATATTATTAAACAAAAAGAAATCATTTAAGAAATAAAAATCCTTCTGAAATAAAATAGAAATCTTAACTATTATGATTAAAATTAGCCAAGTATATAATTTTATAAACAAAAATTATTTAAGGACCAAAAACCAAATGACAAAACTTTTTTTGTGTGTGTATAAACTTGTATAGTTTCTAAAACTTGTACATGGTGTATACTAAAACAAAACAGTTTCTATAGTGTATACTAAAACTTGTATAGTTTAAACTTGTATAGTTTCTATAGTGTATACTAAAACTTGTATAGTTTATATAGCAGTATAATTGCCTGTGCTTGATTCAAAATTGTTTTAATTTCGCATAGCAATCGCTATCACTTGACTTAAAATATTTTGCCCTTCCTTGCTTTTAAAGGAGTGCCCTTTGCCGTGCTGATGTTGCTACTTGCCTTACTTCTTACCTATCTCACACTGCAAATTTTTTCTAAGCTCTATATGAAAAAAGAACTAAACAAAATGAACACAAAAACGATCAGCTTTAAAAAAAGGACTCAGAACTGGATAAACCGAATGAAAAAAAAGAATGTTAACAACAATACTTTTTCACACCCAACCCAGTTCTATGGAATCAGAATCAACGTTGAGTTTAAGCAAACAAATGAGTCAATTGGAGTAAAGTACCATGCAAATTTAAATTTTTCCCACTTGTGACGAATGCAGCTATCGATTTATTTTTTTTTTTTTTTTTTTTTTTTTTCCTTGCATGCTTGTTAACATTTGTGTCAGTCAGCTGTTGGCTCTCACGCCAGCCAATAGAATCTTCCTGCCTCTTTGTGGCTGCCAGCTATAGGTCTCACTTTGGCCAGTAGAAAATGGCCAAAACTACATGAAAACTGCCGAGAAGCATGAAAAATCTATTATTTCCACTATCGATGGGAGTTGGGAAATGCAAAAGTCGGTCTTGGCCTTCCCGATAACTTGGAGCATGTGCATAAGTTTTGGTGCAAACGTCAAAAATTGCAGCCGTGCATTTGTTACACACACACACACACACACACACACATCCTGCCTTTTATAGACTTGTATAGTTTATACGTATAACTTTATAGTTTATATCGTGTATATACTATAACTTGTATAGTTTATATCGTGTATACTATAACTTGTATAGTTTATATCGTGTATACTAAAACATGCCAAAGGTAACTAAAAGAATAATTTAATTTCCTTAATGGTCTTGCATATCATTTGCATAATTTAACATCATAATAATAATCTATGCTGATTTCTTTTTATTATTCTTATTAAATTTTTATTTTTTAATCATTTCACCCCAATCAAGGCAATAAAGCCACTAAGACACAAGAGGTTGCCAAGTATGAGAGAATATGAATAAAAAAAAAAACTTTAAGGAGAGAGAACAATAAAAATACAGGACTTAAGAAGACAGAAAATAACAGTTGACAAAGCATTTATATTTTTGAAGATCAAAGTCGACTGGAACTGATCACTTATCATTAAGACAGGAGTAAATAGTTGTATCATCAACATAGATACCTAGTTGAGGACTGATGACATCAGGAATTTTGTTGATGAAAATTAGGTACAATGTAGGTCCAAGGATAGAGCCCTGAGGGACACCTGCATTAATGAAAAAAAGATCTAGAAGATTGGCCATTTGAGATAACTTTTATTTTGCGATTTAATAAAGTTTGAATCAAAATAAAAATTTGTCCAGAAATACCATAAACTTTCATCTTGTGAAAAAGCCCAGCATGCCAAAACCTGTGAAATGCCTTTGAGATATCCAAAGCAACTGCACAAGCTTCACCATTATTATCTAAATAAGACTCTTTCAGTAATAATCGTTAATATATTAGTAGTTGACCTAGAGAAGTGAAAGCCATATTGCTTGTCTGAAAAGATACTGCGATGTGAGATGCTTAACCAATCTGGAGTTGTTAGAACCTAGTAGTTTGACAAAAGGCAATAGAAGGCTAATAGTTAAAAGTATCAGAAGATTTGTCTGAGTTTTAAAGACGGAGACTGCGGAAGACAGGAAAGCAAGAAGCAGCAAGGCATTTATTGTAGAGTTTAGAGAGAACAAGAGCCAGTTCAGGAGCACATTTCATAAGGACTATTGTAGGGATAACATCAAGTTAATAATTCAAATTGAGTAAAGAAAGGAAGGAAAGAAGTCTTATTGCTATTTAACACACTATTACAGAGAGCCACCAGTGGTTGCAAGAACCAACCTTGTTAGTGTATATGGTGCCTCATTTTTGTCGGCAAACAATGACTTAGCTTCCTTGAAAGCATATTTACAATTATTATGAGCAGACACAAAGAGGTCTGTGTTTGGAATTATCACACTACTACAGCCTAAAAAAGTGATTCCTGTGGGCTAATAGTGTCAAGTATGTATGAATCAAGGGGATGATTGTGGTCTCACCTGGTATTTCTACAAAGATAAAAAAGCATTGATGCCAACTTTTAACCCAATAAGCAACCTCAGTGGCACAATTCTCAATAGGAAAGTTAAATGTTCAAGGGCCGTCTTGAAGAAAGTCATAAAATGAAACCGAATCAGTACCCTGATAACAGAAAGATCTTTTGAAAAGGAGGTTCCTGGCTAATAGATGACACAAAAGAAATATAAACAAATACTACAAATCCTCCAAGAGGACATAGTTCTGATGCTCGACAAGAGCTAGGAGGGGAGGTAAGGAACAAATCAAAATGCATGTTGATCAGAATTATCAGGGAAACTAGTAGAGAAATACACTATTTGACTGGAATAATTGAAAGTTTGAATACTAGCAACATCAGTAACATTAGAATGATTAAGCCACTTGTCCTAATGAACATTAAAATTACTACACACAAAAATGTTCACAGATGAATGTGGAGTCATTTCTCTATTGCTAGATATTTTGTCTAATATGTTACATTCCTGAGAAGGAGGGCAATAAAGAAAGTCAAAAATACATGAAAGGATCTTTTTGACAAAGAGGGGGATAGCCAGGAACAGAGAATTCGTTTGTTGGTATAGAAGAATTTTTTTTATAACCACAGAATTCTAACCACATAGAGTGGAAGGGGCAAAGGAAAATACAAACACTAACTATGAGTTTCTTAAAATAGGTCAAATTAACTCTGTATCAGCAACCTTTTTTCTTTTTTACAAATGTAACCATTTGGAGTGTTCAAAAGATGCTGTGTAGATTTCATGAGATCAAATAATGGTGGTTTAATTGATTTAATATTTCCACAAAACTTTATTTACAAAATAATTTTTTTTTTTTTTTTTTTTTTTTTTTTAACTGCTTACCCAAAATATATATTGACGTGGAGAAGCCCAGGAGAAGAAACTAAAAAAACAAATCAACTATATAACTGTCATACTACTTAATCAAGATCTCTTTCTGATTCACAAATACATTTCACCAGACACATGGAACAGGTGTGAGTGCTAAGAAAGCAAGACCCAAAATAAAAAAAAGTTGTCTTCTGTGCAGGGGCTCTGAGCATCACATCAATTTCACAAAACAAATAACAAATCCCCACAAAAATACAATAATCAGTTATGAACATTCCTGCTAAAAAAAATTAAAAAAATGTCCCTGTGAACCCATACCTATTAAAACGAAGATATAAAAACAGCAATCATTGCTGAATACAGGCAGTTTGTCTTTATCGTGAAGAAAATGGCGACTTACCTTGTCAAACCAAGCGACAGCATGTCGTGTGTATCCTACAACGGAAAATGTGGCGAAGAAGAAAATTACTTACCAAAAAAAAAAAGGGGCACTTATTCCGCATGACATGCTGAAGATGGAATATTTTAGAAACAAGTCGGTCGCAGAAGTCACCATAAAAGTATTTTGATATGCAAAAATTGAGCATCCCCTCCCAGTTGTCGATGAATGAAAAAAAAAATGCTCAGCTGATAAAAGCAAAAGAGAAAATAAAATTCGGGGATTTGATATACCATGTTCATCAGAGAGTGAGTTATTTTTCTGACTGGTTACGTGCATTGGGATTTGTGAGATAGTACCTGCGAATCAAGTTTTTGGCCTTTCTTTCTGCCCCCGATTTTTGCGTCTGATCTTACAGCGATTTTATTCTCTGCGTTGTGGAAGTAATCTTTGACAAATATTTCCTTTGCAATCCCAGATCACTTACGGTCTTCAACACTCCAACCTAATCACATGACCACCAGATCATCAGACACCTCCCCACAGGTCTCTCTCCTGAAACCAACTGTGACATCAGCCAACCAACCCAAGAAATTGGTCAACTATACCAACAACACCCTTATGCTGAATTGCTTTCCTTGCCAATGGCAACTAAGGAACCACATATAAACAATTTTTGCTACTTTTCGTACAACTATGTACATTTTTTGAATTTTGATCAATACACATTGTTGAAATCTTAATCTTGGTTTGTCCCTTTTCCTTTGCAACATAACATAACTATCTATGAGAGCTTCAGGAATGTAGTCTTATAATACAAAACATACCCAAATGCTGACTGTGGAGGTAATTACCTTCTTGTGATATGTAAACTTAGAGTGACAC